ATCAGGCGTGTGACTTACGCGTACATGGAATTCCATTTGTTGAGGGGGAAAACTTGAAGGTGTTGTACAACACGCTCTGTTTTTCACTTAAGCTAGCAGCGCCACCGAAAATCAAGGCGCTATTCCGGGCCAGAAAAACACAAAACTCTTCTGTTGACCCGGTGGTCATAATACGTATGGAAAATCAGCACGAAAAAATCACGCTGCTGCGCTGTATCGGAGCTTATCGTCGCGCAGTAAACCAACAACTAAGTTTGCATATGATGGGCTTCGACTCACAAGCTGCTCTTTATGTCAATGAGCAGCTTTTGAGAGAGCACTATATAATATTTAAAGAGCTTAAAAAGCGCAGACTGTTCTCTGCTGTTTTTACCCGCAGAGGTTTAGTCCACATCAGGTGCAATGATAAAATCTACTGCATCGAGAGTATGGATCAGCTGTTGGCGCTCTCGCAAGATGCTGATAAGCTAGCCTCTTCTCGCTCTTCTCAATTATCTACATCTCCGCGCGCTGCAACTTCGTCATCTGTGGTGGACGGAATCGCTGCGAACTGTCAGGGATTTCGCCGCTGATATGTTCCTGTATCTTAATCTAATTATAACTAGGTTCTTTAAATCTAAATATTCTTTCTATATTAGACATAAGATTTCCCAAACTCTTAAAAATACGACTCTCTTAATTAGGTATCTCACACTCTCTCAAGACTCTTTTTTGTTTTTAATAGTGGTGCTTAGACTAATTCTTATATCAAAATCAATAGGTGCGTATGCGTTACTGATTGTCTGGTCTGTCGATGATGGATGACAATGATTGTTCCCTGAGTGCGAGCAGCTATACGATGCTTAGAGTACTTGGTAATCAGAGAAATGGCCTTCGTGTATGCCATATTAACGCTCAAAGCTTAGTGAATAAAATCGAAGAATTTAGGTATTTATTTGTTAGTTCTAACATTGATGTTATTTGCTTGTCCGAAACGTGGTTTTCGTCGTATGTCAGTGATTCGTTAGTAGAGTGTAATGGTTATGATATCTTTCGTTCCGACCGTGGTAGCCACGCTGGGGAGTAGCCTTATATGTAAACAAACGTCTTAATGCAAAGTTTGTCTGTAAACATCCGAGTGATAGCTCCGTTGAATGGATATTTGTCCAGATCACAAATACATTATACTCATCAAAAACTTTAATAGGCTGTGTTTATAGACCAAACCGATCTATTGACTACCAAAACTTAATTGACTTATTGTCCTCTATGTCTATACAATATTCGGACGTTATCCTTGCTGGGGATTTCAACAGCAATATTCTAAAAGAAAATAAATTATCCGACGACATCGGATCTATTGGTTTAAATTTAGTAAACTCATCAGTACCTACACATTTTTCAAACCACTGTGATACTTTACTTGATTTATTTTTTGTAACTGACTGTGATAAAATGTCCATGTATAGTCAACTTTCAATGCCAATGTTTTCAAAACACGACCTAATTTATAATATTAATACTGACTTTACTGAAAACCATATAGTTTATAGGGATTTTAAAAATATTGACTACACCTTGCTAAGTAACGACTATAATTTATGTGACTGGGACTCTATTTATGACCATACAAATATTAATTCTCAATTGACTGTCCTACAAAATAATATAATATACTTATATAATCGATCAGTACCGTTTGTGACGAAAATGACCAAGCCACGTGAAAATCCATGGTTCAATTCAGCAATTAAGGTACTTATTGACAAACGGGATACTGCATTTAAAAAATGGAAGCGATACAAGACAAGCCAGCACGCGGTTCAATATAAAATGTTTCACAATTGATTAATCAAGAGAAACGCAAATATTTCTTTAACAGATTTAATAGGGCAACAACGAGTCAGCAGAAATGGGCTGATATTAAAAAACTAGGCATTGGTAAAACCAAAACTAATCGATGTGATGCAAATCCTGATGAACTAAACCAAAAATTTTTAGACTGCAAAGTACCTGAAGTAACTAAAGATGACTATATTGATCACCTACCTCAAAATACATATCGAAATTGTGATAATATAAATTGCGGCTGTGATAATGGTACCTGTGATAGTAGTTTTAGTTTCGTGTGTGTAACTGAGTCTGATGTCCTTAAATCAATGTTACTAATTAAGTCAAATGCTACTGGAGTCGACGACATAAACCCAAAATTTATAAAGATACTATTGCCAAAAATATTACCATACATAACTTTTATATATAATACTGCCTTGACACAATCAATATTTCCCGACTCTTGGAAATTAGCTAAAATTATACCTGTTCCAAAATCTGCAAACGAATATAGGCCAATTTCAATCTTACCATATTTGTCTAAAGTCTTCGAAAGACTTATGGCTGGTCAGATGACCAATTATTTAACAAGTAGGAATATACTAACCGATAAGCAATCAGGGTTCCGTGTTGGCAGAAGCTGTACCACAGCTATAATTAAAATAGTTGAAGACATCAGGGAAAAAATGGATACTGACAACATAACATTTTTGACTCTTTTAGATTATAGTAAAGCATTTGATACGGTAAATCACGAAATTCTTTGTATTAAGTTAAAGCGTCTATGTAATTTCTCGCGCTCATCAGTGCAACTTATTTGTTCCTATCTAAGCAATCGCGGTCAGTCTGTTTTCGTAAATAATGTGTACTCGTCTTTTCTTTATCTGAAGCGTGGTGTGCCGCAAGGATCCGTCCTAGGTCCACTACTGTTCTCAGTGTATGTAAATGATTTACCTAGTAATATGTCAAACTGTGAAGTACACATGTATGCTGATGATGTTCAAATGTATGTAAGCCGTCCTATTCGTAGAATTAATGAATGTATAAGTGTCTGTCAAACTGAATTGGAAATTGTTAGCCAGTGGGCGAAAATCAATGGGCTAGGATTAAACCCGAAAAAATCGAAATGTGTTGTGGTAGGTAAAAGAGTGATGGCTACCGGTGCATTGGAAAAATTATCTATTAATAATGCTCCTCTTGAGTATGTGAAAACTGCAATTAATTTAGGATTTACGTTTAATCAAACATTGACTTGGGATGATCACATTAATAAATCTGTGGGAAAAATGTATGCAATACTTAGAAACCTATACTTGACCAAAGACTTCTTACCGACCAAAATAAAAGAGACAATTGCAAAAATGTACCTTATACCGGTACTTTTCTATGGTCTAGAGGTATTTAGTGACTGCAGCTCCGTAGGTCAGCGCAAGCTGCAGGTAGCGTTTAATAATGTGGCAAGATATATTTATAATAGACAGAGAGCTGACCATATAAGTGACGTTACAACTAAAATCTTTAACATGCCACTTAAATCCTGGACAAACCTTAGGGCCCTATTACTACTCCATAAAATTATAAGCAAGCAAGAGCCGTTGTACCTATATGAAAAACTTATTTTTAGTTCGTCAAGAAGAACCAGAAACATAATGAGCATTAAGTATAAGTATCTATGCACAAGAAGGCAGTTCCTTGTATATGCTGTTCGTAATTGGAACCAACTTCCACATACTATCAAGGCAATCAGTAATGAAGCTCAATTTAAAAACGCACTGCAAGAATATTTTAAGACAAATTAATAGCACCACCAGAACCTAGAGAGAAAGTGAGAGTAACAAAAAAAAAATCAAAAATTACAGGTTAAAATTAAAATAAACTAACTAAAAATTAAGAATTCAAAAATTTAAAAAAAATCAAAAAAATTAAAAATTATAATCAACATTTAAAATAAAAGTCAATTAAAATAGTAATAGTAGTAAGTGCCGACACAAATGTTAGCATATAAGTTAAGCTTTAAGTTCAGCCTTCAATTGTACACCCGTGACTAGCGCCTTAATTTATAAGTATGCTACATGCTTGTAGCGCTGGGATAGAAACAATCAAATAAATAAATAAAATAAATAAATAAAATTGTAATTACGTAATATAGCCCCAGATCCCCAATCAGAAACTATGGTATTGGTACTTATCTTCGGAAACTGTTTTAAAATTTTAAAAATTAATATTTTTGCTCTATTTCCAATGACTATTCACAAACTGTGCCCAAACCTGTCACAATTTTAAATAACATAAGTTTATACGGTTCTATACGGTCTAGGTTGTTTTGACTTTGTATATAAGCACATGGCCGTGGCCTACGAATCTTTGCGGGCTATAACTTACGCACATGTATAAATATGTTTAAAGCAAGGGTTACTTGTGCTCAAAAATACTTATGAGTTACTTGAAATAGTTAGGTAGTTTCGTGGGTCAAAAAAAGCACTGTGGAAGAAAATATTTTTATTATATTATATTATATTCGTGTAAAAGTATGTAACAGAGAGAAGAAAGCGTTTCCGACCCTATAAAGTATACATATTCTTGATCAGGGTTACTAGCCGAGTCGATATAACCATGCCCGTCTGTCCGTCTGTCTGTCTGTCCGTATGAACGCTGAGATCTCGGAAACAACAAAAGCTAAAAGATTTTGAGATTTGAGATTTCCCACACATATTCTTGGGCTTCCTACGCAGCAAAAGTTCATTTCAGCTGAGCGCCGCGCCCACTCTAACGTCCACAACCGCCCACTGACGATTTTAAAATGTGTCTGGCGCCGACACCAGTAAAGATTTCCGAGAAGTATAAATGCAATTTGGTTGTGTATATTTATATTTATCGAAATTTAGAAGACATTCATTCAAACAAAATTATATAAATCCATCTCCTTCGTGCTCCCAACTTTCTAGCTTTTGTAGTTTCCGAGATCTCAGTGTTCGGACAGACGGACATGGCTATATAGACTCGGCTAGTGACCCCGATCATGAATATAAATAGTTTATAGGCTCGGAAACGCTTTCTTCTCCCTGTTATATACTTTTGCACGAATACAATATAACCTTTTACTCTACGACTAACGGGTATAAAAATTAGAATATATTTAAAGTTATAAACTTTTAGCGTTAGTAAAAAACTTATGAATAAATAAATACCTTTTTAACCATAGTTTATACTGTGAAGATCCGTTAACCAATAGCATTTTAATGGAGTCAGCAAAGGAGTTTGGAACCGAAAAATCAGTTTGTTCTTTGACAAGGTAATTTATTAGTGCTCTTTTAATTTTTCTTTTGAGTGGAATCCATTTTGTAATATTCTTTAAATTTATAATTTCTTTTGCAAGATAATTAGATATTAAAAAGCTGTGCATCATTTTTCTGAAAGAAAATACATATATATATATACGGTGGTTCTTTTAAAAAACGTCACATTTTTGAGTTGCATGAAACTTGCTTTACGTGTACGTGTAAGGATTTGGCTAAAAAAAATTTTTTTTTAATGAGAATTTTTTTGAGTTTGCCAAAAAATAAATTTTAGAGGAAATAATGCAAGAGACACGAAGTCAATCGGATTACTACAACCGGATATACCGGTTTTTAATGAGAGGGTACCTTTTCAAAACTCACGTTTTTTGGCAAACTAAAAAAAATCCTAATTAAAAATATATTATTTTTCCGCCAAATCCTGATCCACGTGTTTACTTATTTTCCGAATAGAAAACGCAAAGCAAGTTTTATGCAAATCAAAAATGTCAAAAAATATTTTTGGTCAAATCCGTTGGTTTTGTAAAAGAACCGCAAAACTAGCGTGGGTTGATTTGGGGGTCTGCAAATCGTAGGGAGGAACCTTATCTATGAAAAATATCTGAGTTGGATAGTCGCGAAAAAAGTTATAAGTCGTTTGGGCGTAACATGCTATATTTGATGCTATATTTGTAAATTCGTTACGAATTCCCAAGTTAAACTGCGTTCGCCAAAAAGTTCCACGACTCAAGGATTCTTAGCACAAGGACCTCAAAGTTCGAAAAATGCTGAAATGGGCCAAGTCTCCGGAGGTCTCACAGGCAAACGGATCTATGTTTTGTTTTGATGTTAAAGATTTTTAAAATATACACTTTTTATCTTTCAAACCCCATACTTTAAATAATTTTTGGATTTTCTTAAAGGGAGAAACAAATTTAAGAAAAAATAGTCAAAAAACTTAAAAACTTACAGCTGCGGTCAATATAGTAGTAGTGTTGCCGCCCAGTGTTTTTAAAAGTTTGTTGTTGTAACTTGTTGTATCCAATAAGTCCATGAGTTCAATTATAATCAATACAATGTTACCAGGAAAAGATAAATTGCAACAACAAACTTTTAAAAACACAGGGCGGCAACACTATTATCACTTTGACCGCAGCTGTTTGCTTTTTGACTATGTTTTCTTGAACTGGCTTCCACCTTAAAAAAAATCATAAAAGTATTCTAAGTATGGGGTTTGAAAGATAATGAGTGTATTTAAAAAAACTTTAACATCAACACAATCCATTAATCCGTTTGCCTGTGAAAGCTCCGGAGAGTTGGCCAATTTCAGCATTTTTCGAACTTTAAGGTCCTTGTGCTAAGAATCCTGGCGTGGGGAACTTTTTTGAAAACGCAGGTTAACTTTAATTTTTTCTCGAATTCCAAAATATAGCACCCATCGAGGTAAATTCAAAAAGCATTAATTTTGTTGCACAGTGTAGTCAATGGGCCGTATTGTCCAGTAAGCTATATAGCTAAGCATAGCTTTTAGGCATATGAATAAAACCACGCTTGATCCTTAGCCTTTGCTAATGAAAACAAGAGAGAACGCTATAGTCGGGTGCCCCGACTATCAGATACCCGATACTCAGCTAAAAGGAGTGCGAAAGAGATGGAGAAAAACTTTGATCCGCCGTAACTTTTTAACGAATGGTCCGATTTAAAAAATTTCTTCTACATTTCGATAGGTATTGATAAACACAATAAAACTGCATTTTTACTTTTCCAAAATATTGAAATTTTTAAAATCGTATGTAAGCGATTGTGGGCGTTAGAGGGGGCGTGGCACCCTTTTGAAACAAACTTGCGCTGCGTAGGAACTCCTAGAATCTGCATGCAAAATGCCAATCTTCTAGCTTTTATAGTTTCCGAGATCTCAGCGTTCATACAGACAGACAGACGGACAGACAGACGGACAGACAGACGGACAGACAGACGGACAGACAGACGGACAGACAGACGGACAGACAGACGGACAGACAGACGGACAGACAGACGGACATGGCTATATCGACTGGGCTAGTGATCCTGATCAAGAATATATATACTTTATAAGGTCGGAAATGCTTTCTTCTAGCTGTTACATACTTTTGCACGAATCTAGTATACCCTTTTACTCTACGAGTAACGGGTATAAATACTGTTATTTCATTCTATTTTTGAGAAAAATATCATAGAAGTAGTTGAAAAAATAAATTTTTTTAAAAATGCTTTATAGAGACAAAAACATTTTTACCGGCTACTATGATATTTTTCTCAAAAGTAAAACGAAATGCCAGTATTTTTCTCCTGCAAACGCGAAGGGTGAAACGTGGTTTTAGGCATATAGTTTCTTGGACTATATGGCTTAGAAATGCCTAGAGATTGTTTTTTGCGTCCATTCCAGTTTATAAAATTCAAGGCTACTGTGATATTTTTTATCAAATACTGGGTTACTTTCTTTTTTAAATGCGGATATGATTTATCACTTTTTTGCGTCCATATTTTACTGGAACTTACCTGTGATAAGCCATTATATGTATAACAGCATTCGGCTTTAACGTAAATTGGTGTCCATATTTACATTTAGCACATACTGCAAAAACGTCAATCGGCATTAAATGACTATCTATTATGTAACGTATATTTTTATTAAGGTATATTTCACAAACAGAAAAGTTCCACAACATAATAAAGAAAATTATTACACTTATGATATTTTTAGGTCTATGCGACATATTTTTAAACATGATCTCAACACGTCGAGTCATTAAATGATTTTCAAGAGAAAACTATTATTTTTTGTTACACCTGGTGCGTTTGTTCTGTGTGCTCTACCAAGCATGGTGGACTTACTATCTTCCTAGTGTGCGTTGCCCGTGTTAGTGTGCGTTGTCTTTGGTTGTGTTAGTGTATAATTTTATTTGCTGCGAAATAGGCTCAATTTCGCATCTGTTTGACGCCTCGAAACAAAGCTGTGGGCTAGGAGTGTAGTCGCTCAACTGCGGATCTTGTCGGACTGAGTTCAACTTCTACTGAAAACCACCTTTTATTATACCCGTTACTCGTAGAGTAAAAGGGTATATTAGATTCGTGCAAAAGTATGTAACAGGTAGAAGGAAGCGTTTCCGACCCCATAAAGTATATATATTCTTGATCAGGGTCACTAGCCGAGTCGATCTAGCCATGTCCGTCTGTCCGTCTGTCCGTCTGTCCGTCTGTCCGTCTGTCCGTCTGTCTGTCCGTCTGTCTGTCTGTATGAACGCTGAGATCTCAGAAACTACAAAAGCTAGAAGGTTGAGATTTCCCACACATATTCTTTGGCTTCCTACGCAGCGCAAGTTTATTTTAGCCGAGCGCCACGCCCCCTCTAACGCCCACAATCCTTCACTAACGATTTTAAAATGGGTCCTGCGCCCACATCTTTAAAGATTTCCGAGAAGTATAAATGCAATTTTGTTGTGTATATTTATACCTATCGAAATGTAGAAGACATTTTTCAAATCGGACCATTCATTAAAAAGTTATACGCAATCAAAAATTATATATCTATCTCCCTCGCACTCCCTTTAGCTGAGTTACGATTATTAGTCGGGACACCAACCCGACACAGCGTTCGCACTCCCTTTAGCTGAGTGACGGGTATTAGATAGTCGGGACAACAACCCGACTATAGCGTTCTCTCTTGTTTTTTGTTTATTTTATTTTTTTTTAAAACATTGTTCATTCAATATAAACTCTTTTTAAAGGAAGGTGAATAACATTAATAAGTTGAATATTTGTTTTTAGCGATAGGGTGATTTTTATACCCGTTACTCGTAGAGTAAAAGGGTATATTAGATTCGTGCAAAAGTATGTAACAGGTAGAAGGAAGCGTTTCCGACCCTATAAACTATATATATTCTTGATCAGGATCACTTGCCGAGTCGATCTAGCCATGTCCGTCTGTCCGTCTGTCCGTCTGTCTGTCCGTCTGTCTGTCTGTATGAACGCTGAGATCTCGGAAACTATAAAAGCTAGAAGATTGACATTTTGCATGCAGATTCTAGGAGTTCCTACGCAGCGCAAGTTTGTTTCAAAAGGGTGCCACGCCCCCTCTAACGCCCACAATCGCTTATATAGGATTCTAAAAATTTCAATATTTCGGAAAAGTAAAAATGCAGTTTTATTGTGTTTATGAATACCTATCGAAATGTAGAAGAAATTTTTTAAATCGGACCATTCGTTAAAAAGTTACGGCGGATCAAAGTTTTCATCTTTATCTCCTTCGCTCTCCCTTTAGCTGAGTAACGGGTATCTGATAGTCGGAGCACCCGACTATAGCGTTCTCTCTTGTTTTTTTGTTTAAAAAGTAAAACTATTTTTATTTTTGGGCCCTGAATTGAAATTAAATTGTATTCTGCAATAACAATTTTTTAAATTAACTAATATACACTGGTCGGCATATATGTATGTATATTTTGTCATAGTATTCATTTGACTATTAGACTCTTGAACGTAGTACCGGTGCATTATTAGAACCAAAAATGATGATGAAAGAGAAGTGCAAATTAATAACAGCAAATATGGGCACTTCCAAAATGTCGCTCGGGACATTTGCACACATTTAAAGTTGAAAAAAAATTGTAAAACAATGGATTTTAATTTTAATTATGGGCTTTTCTTTTCACTCTTTCCAAGCTCTATTTTTTGGTAAAAATCTTGATTTTGTACCACTTTTAGTTTTTAAGATATCGGTAAAAAACTGCCGTATTCGCTGGGGACAAAAATAGAAGTGGATTTCGGGGAGGTTCATACAACACCAGAAATTAGCGAATTCTGATGGAATATTTTATTGCGATTTTTTTTAGAATGTTGTTCAAACATGTCGCTGTGAAATGCTTTTGGTTTTACTCAAAAATTCTTTGCCGTTTTTTTTTATGCATTTTCAACCACATTCGCTCGGGACATGTCGCTCGGGACATTTTTTCCGACGGTTTTGTAAAGCGAATTTCTTTACCTCTATCTCTCAATTGCTGGATGTTTTGCTTTTAACTTAATAGTTTAGCATGTGAATGAAGCATTCAGTACAGAAAAATGTCACATATTAGCATTCCTATAGGATAAATTAACAACAGAAGACAGGTCCAAAAAATAACAAAAAAATAGCCAAAAACTGATTTTTGCGTATATTGGTGGGGTTTGTCATAAAAATAATCAAACTATACTCCAAATTTGTAGTTAAGCTCAGTATCCAACTAATTAGAAACTAATATCGGGGCAAAATCATGTGGAAATATCTTTTTTTCAAGTTTTAAGGTTTTTGGCTTGGTGGACTTTTTTTTGAAAGTGCCCATATGCGAAATATTTTGTCAATTGTCTTTTGTTTCATTGTTCTGCTAATAGGAATGCCAGCAAGAAACGATTTTTGCAGTGGCATATATAAATTTATTCGCCTCAGAGTGGTCTTGAAAAATCACTTTACTTGTACTTGTTTTTTTGTTTTACCCTTGTAGAGGGTATTATAATTTCAGTCAGATGTTTGCAACGCAGTGAAGGAGACGTTTCCGACCACATAAAGTATATATATTCTTGATAAGCACCAATAGCCGAGTCTATCTAGCCATGTCCGTCTGTCCGTCTGTCCGTCAGTCCGTTTCTATGCGAACTAGTCTCTCAGTTTTAAAGCTATCGCGATGAAACTTTCCCGAAAGTCTTCTTTATATTGCAGGTAGTACATATGTCGGAGCGAGCCGGATCAGACCACTATATCTTAAGGCTCCCATAGGAATATTCAAACAAATATAAGAAAATTCATTGTAACTTTGTAGGAAGTAGGCGTTTTGATTCTTGACTACTTAAAAACAAAATTTAAATGCACCGAGTGAGCATTACTTTATCTGCAAGGGTATATAAGCTTCGGCTGGCCGAAGGTAGCTTCCTTTCTTGTTTTTAAATAATCTTTTTTTTTCTTTTTTAAGGACTGGTATTCAACGTATGGGCTAGTCTTAACCCAACAAAAAGTTATCCAACACAAAAAACTTCATCTAAATTAATATAATAGGACCTATAAAAAACGGTCAATCAAAAAAATAACATTAATACTTAAAATAATTAGGAGCCGCGTTTAAGGTACAAATTAGAACAATAAACGACCCCAAAGTGCCAAAAAATTCGATTTTTATACCCTTGCAGAAAGTATTATGATTTTAGTCAGAAGTTTGCAACGCAGTGAAGGAGATGTTTCCGACCCCATAAAGTATATATATTCATGATCAGCATCACTAGACGAGTCGATCTAGCCATGTCCGTCTGTCCGTCTGTCGGTCCGTTTGTCCGTCTGTTTCTACGCAAACGAGTCTCTCAGTTTTTTAGATATCGGGATAAAACTTTCCCAAAAGTCTTCTTTTTAATGCAAGTAGTATATAAGTCGGAACCGACCGGATCGGACAACTATATCTTATAGCTCCAATACGAAGGATCGGAAAAAAAGTTAAAAAAAATTCTAGCTTCGGTGTTTTTTAAATATTACCTTCAAATCTTGGGAATATTATTTTTATATATTTCCGAATTTCGAATTAAATATGTAAAAAATCGGATCACTATATCATATATGTAGCTGCCATAGGAGCGGTCGAAGAATTAAATGGAAATTAATAGGAACAAAATTATATCTTTGTTGATTTTTACTACATTCTCTTCCACTCTGGGATATGACTATTTTTAAATATTTCCTAGTTTCGATTTTAATTTTAAAAAGATCGATATACTATACCATATAGCTGCCATAGAAACGATCGACAAATTAAAGTGAAATAATAGGAAATTTAACATTTTTGCGATCTTTAAAATAATAGAATGATCGGCAAGGGTATATAAGCTTTGGCTTGCCGAAGCTAGCTTCCTTTCTAGTTTTTTAATCTTTTCTGTTGCCATTTCCCTGTTATAAATGTTCTTAAAACGGTTTAAAAATGTGATGTTCATAATCTTTTGGCATACCCGCAAATAATTGCATTTACATTTTTGGAAAATTCAGCCTCCTTTACCAAGTCTCCAATATTTCCAAATTTTGTTATGCCATTGTGACGTCACGGTCTACACATATGTATGTATGTATGTATTATCTGCTAGCACAACCCAGTCGGAAGTGGAACGGCGGATCAAAGTTTTCATCTCCATCTCCTTCGCACTCCCTTTAGCTGAGTAACGGGTATCTAATAGTCGGGGCATCCGACTATAGCGTTCTCTCTGGTTAAGATTTATGAAATTAGAGGGAATATTTGTTATAGGTAACGAAAAGGTAAATAAAAGCCAAATACTCTTGGGGAATTAGTTAACGGGGGTTTTTGGAAGGTATCCACAGTAGACAACTCTTATAAGAGAAACCAATATTTATGCGAAGCAATGTTTTGCCTATTTGACTAATTTAAAAAACGGCATTAAGAAAAGCAATTCCATATTACTGTATTTTACCATTGATATTTTGCTCCAGTATTTTTGTTTCTATTAATTTTTCATCTTGATTAGAATAATATTAATAATAAGAAAAGCAGGTGGAAGGGGATGCCGTGAATCAAATTGTTTAAGCATTTCCAATTGTTTAAACAATGTAATAATATAAATAGTTTGCTGATTAGTTTTTTGC